GAAGAGCGGAGGTGGAAGGAGAAAGGAATGTCAAGAAGAGAACTGCTTAAAGGGAAACTAAACCAAGCCAGAGTTTCCTTGCTGTGACAGCACATTTGGTGCAGTGGGCCAAATTTTAGTCTCCGGACTGCAGCCTGCGACCACTAGACGGTGAGCCTTTGCTAAAATGTTTGCTTGAAGACCCGAAATTTGACTTGAAACAATTGTTTTTTTGGAGGACTTGTGAAGGACTTGCATTTATCCATACACTGTAATCTACACCTTTCCAAGATTTTCTATTCTTAACACTTGCTGAAAATTATTTGAGTATACAAATCTTGATTTAATTAAGAAAGCAAAGTATTGGCTTCCACAGTTTAAGTGACCATTCGTTTGGGATTCTCAAGAGGTTTGTATTTGTGAAAAAGAAAAAGGAACAGTTCTCTAGTGCCTTACCTCTCTTTGTACCAGAACATCTCTTATGTTTATGATTGGTGAAAATGCTGTTGCCTCTAGTTAGTGATTCTACCCAAACGTTGACTGTGATCTTAGATCACCTTATCATACTGCCCTTCTGTTTTCAACCAGTCTGATAACACCTCCCTCTAAGGCTGTGTGTGTGTCTTCTCTAGTTTTGTGTCTTGTTTTTTGTGTTGACTGGAGGACAGTAAGTCTTGGTCCTTCGACACAGACTTTTGGGAGACTCAGATTATATGCTTTTAAAAACTGATAGTCCTGCTGCTTTAAAATTTTCAAAATATTTACGTGATGACAGTTTTGATTTTGTTGCATATTTTCTTTTCCCATGAGCAGAATTCTCAGTTTCTAAAATGTGTCTCCGCCCAGGAAAGAATTGTGGAGATCCTGTGAGATGTTGAGGTCTCCAGAGGCACTTATTCAGATGAGGGATAAATCTGTGCACTTTAGGGGTGAATGTTTAGGAGGAGTGGAATCTCTAAAATGTTATCCAAGGAGCTCTCCTTAATGCCTTAAATTCTGCTATTCTGTTCAGATTTGGACCTTCTCTCTCTCTCTCTCTTTTTTTTTTTTGACATGGAAATGTGTTTTTTGTTTTTACTACAGTGAGAAACCTTAACATTTATAAGGTTTCTCCCCAGTATGAATTCTCAGATGTTGAACAAGTGATGAATTTACAGTGAATGCTTTTCCACAAACTTTACATTTATAGCGTTTTTCTCCAGTATGAGTTCTCTGATGTTCAGTAAGAGATGAACTCTGGATAAATGCTTTTCCACAGTCATCACACATATAAGGTTTCTCACCGGTATGAATTTGTGTACGGATAAATGCTATTATTCCTTTGTACATTGCTTTATCAGGTGCTGTTTTTACATTCCTCAGTGGCTTCTCTCCATCTGCTGTAACTCTGCCATTTCTTCTTGTCACACATTTTCTTTTTTTAAAATTTATTTTATTTATTTATTCTTGTCTGCGTTGGGTCTTCGTTGCTGCGTGTGGGCTTGCGGTTTTTCTCTAGTTGCGGCAAGCGGGGGCCGTTCTTCGTTGCGGTGCGTGGGCTTCTCATTGCAGCGGATTCTCTTGTTGCAGAGCACGGGCTCTAGGGACGTGGGCTTCAGTAGTTGTGGCATGCGGGCTCAGTGGTTGTGGCTCGCGGGCTCCAGAACGCAGGCTCAGCAATTGTGGTGCATGGGCCTAGCTGCTCCGTGGCATGTGGGATCTTCCCGGACCAGGGCCCGAACCCGTGTCCCCTGCATTGGCAGGTGGATTCTTAACCACTGCGCCGCCAGGGAAGCCCTTTTTTCTCTTTTTTAAAATATTTATTTATTTGGCTGTGCCGGGTCTTAGTTGCGACAGATGGGATCTTCATCGCAGCATGCGAGTTTTTTTTTTTCTTTTAGTTGCGGCATGGGGGCTCTTAGTTGAGGCATGCGGTATCTAGTTCCCCAGCAAGGGATTGAACCCAGGCGCCCTGCATTGGGAGTGTGGAGTCTTAACTGCTGGACCACCAGGGAAATCCCTGTCGCACATTTTCTAATACTGCTGTGCATCCCCTTCATTATTTGGCTTTTGACTAGGTACCTGTCCATTCTCTCATTTAAGCTCTGTTTAGTCTCCAGGTTACTGTGGTAGTATAGTGGACAAAGCCTAAGTTCTATTTCTGACCATCTCATTAATAACCTCTGAATCTTTAGGTTATAATCACATAACCTCTCTAGTTCTAAACTTGTTTATCTTTAAATGAGAAGGTTAAACTTTTACATCTTTAAAACATTTTTTTCAGCTTTCAGACTCTTTGTGACATTGCCTATTGGGCCAACTTCTTTCCTACTACTTCTGCCTCTACTTATCTCTACTCCATTGACTTATTATTTTCCCAGATTATGAGACTGTAAATATGCATTCTAATTTTAGTAAGGTTATTTTTTTCTCCTGAGTTCAGTTCCTGTAATCTCGAGGATTTTTTTTTTTTTTTTTTTTTGCGGTACGCGGGCCTCTCACTGTTGTGGCCTCTCCCGTTGCGGAGCACAGGCTCCGGCCGCGAAGGCCCAGCGGCCATGGCCCACGGGCGCAGCCGCTCCGCGGAATGTGGGATCCTCCCGGACCGGGGCACGAACCCGTGTCCCCTGCATCGGCAGGCAGACTCCCAACCACTGCGCCACCAGGGAAGCCCAGAAAATATGTTTTTATAAATGTTTTACTCCCCTCATATTTGAAGAGCAGAGCAGATACCAAAGAGAAGACCATTAGAATATACTTTTGAGTGAGCAGTTCCATCACTGTCATCATGGAAAGGCTCAGAGGGGATGTGTCCAAAGAGTATTTATTTGAAGAAACCTATGAATATGAGGCCAAGGTAGAAAAGCAAAAGGAGCACTCTATAGGCAAAATTTCAAAAAAATCTCTTGCCCAAACCACTGGTTTTCAGCAAATAATAGTTGGCCATGAAGAAATATCTTGTGAGGAAAATGGGCATACTTTTGATGAGCTTGAGAGAAGTTTTGATCTAAGATCTAAACTTATCCCACGGAATGTTACTCATTCAGAAGAGAAACTACATAGATTTGATCCATTTGGGGAAAGTGTCAAATGGAACTTATCTCCAATTAAAAGTCAAAGAGCTTCTAAAAAGAAAATTTATAATTGTAGTGACTGTGGAAAAAATTTCAGTGACCGTTCAAACTTTTTTTGTCATGAGAGAATTCATACTGGTGAGAAACCTTATAAGTGTGATGACTGTGGAAAAGCATTGATCCAAAATTCATCTCTTACTGAACATCAGAGAACTCATACTGGAGAAAAACCCTATAAATGTAAAGTTTGTGGAAAAGCATTCACTGTAAATTCATCACTTGTTCAACATCTGAGAATTCATACTGGGGAGAAACCTTATAAATGTAATGAATGTGGGAAAGCCTTCAGTGACTACTCATCCTTTATTCAACATCAAAGAATTCACAGTGGAGAGAAACCCTATGAATGTATTAACTGTTGGAAGTCTTTCACTGATATCTCAACTCTCACACAACATCAGAGAATTCACACTGCAGTGAAACCCTATAAGTGTAATGATTGTGGAAAGGCATTTAGACGAAATACACACCTTACCCAACACCAGAGGACTCATACTGGGGAAAAGCCTTTAACTGTAATGAATGTGGAAAAGCATTCAGTGCCCACTCAACCTTCACACAACACCAAAGGATTCACACTGGAGAAAAACCCTATACATGCAGTGAATGTGGGAAGGGCTTCCCTGAAAACTCATCCCTTACTAAACATCATCGAATTCATACTGGAGAGAAACCTTATGAATGTAGTGAATGTGGTAAAGCTTTTAGCCAGAGCACTTACCTTATTCAACATCAGAGACTTCATACTGGAGAGAAACACTTTAAATGTGATAAATGTGGAAAAACATTTAGTAACAGTTCAATCCTGATCAGACATCAGCAGCTTCACACTTCAGAGTCATCCTAACGATACTACAGTTTTGTGGACTACTTCATCCTTGCATGAGCCACTCTTACTTTTCGGTCATATGTGTCTTACCCATGCCACTGACTCTTGCTTACAATTAGAATCTCTAGGAATGTTGTATTCCTGGGATAAAGTAAAACATTACATAATATTTTAAATTTAAGTTTCCCATACTGACACTGTTTTGTTAGGTGCATAGAGATTTAGATTGTTAGGTGTTCTTGGAGAACTGGCCCTTTTATCATTCTTTAATGCCCCTTCTTATCCCATAGTACCCTCCCTGTTCTGAAGTCTGCTTTGTCTGAAATTAATAAAAGCTACGTCAGCTTACTTTTGATTAGTGTTAGCATGACATATCTTTCTCCATCTCTTTACTTTTAACATAATGTTTGTTACTGTTTTCTATTCTTTGCATTTTTGTTTCCTTTCTTCCATCTTTTTCTGCCTTCTCTGTTTTTTTTTTTTTTTTTTTTTTTTTTCTTGTGGTACGGGGGCCTCTCACTGTTGTGGCCTCTCCCATTGCGGAGCACAGGCTCTGGACGCGCAGGCTCAGTGGCCATGGCTCACGGGCCCAGCCGCTCAGCGGCATGTGGGATCTTCCCAGACTGGGGCACGAACCGGTGTCCCCTGCATCGGCAGGCGGACTCTCAACCACTGCGCCACCAGGGAAGCCCCCTTATCTGGTTTTAATTGAGCATTTTATGATTCCATTGTATCTCTTGTAGTACATTAGTTATATGTCTTTTAAAAACATTTTATTGGTTGCCTTAGAGCTTGCAATATGTATTTTAAACTAAGTGCACCTTTAAATAAAACGACACTGCCTCACATGTAATGCAGGTACCTTATATCAGAGTATTCCCATCCTTTGTGGCATTGCTGTCATTTGCTTCACTTGTACATATGCTATCACCCAATCACCCAATTATGTTGTCATTATTATTGCTTTAAATAAGCAATTATCTTTGAGATTTAAGAATAAGAAAATATGTTTATTTTACCTTCCTAAAATTTCTTCACTGACACTCTTAATGTCTTAATATAGATCTAAGTTTCTGCATAAATAAATTTTCTTCTGCCTGAAGAACTTCTTTTAACATTTTTAAGGACAGGTCTGCTAGCAGTTAATTCCATTGGTTTTTGTTTGTCTGAGAAAGTATTTCTCCATTACCTTTGAAGGATAATTTCACTGTATGTAGAATTCTAAGCTGGTGAGCGTTTTTCTTTCAGCACTTTGAATATTTCATTCCACTTCTTGCTTGCTTGCAGGTTTTCTGATGTGAGGTCCATTGTGATTCTTATCCTTGTTCCTCTATAGGTGTGTTATATTTCTCTGGCTTCTTTCAAGATTTTCTCTTTGTCTTTTTTTTTTTTTTTAAGGTTGAATATATGCCTAGGAGTAGTTTATTTGTGTTTTATCCTGCTTGGTATTCTCTGAGTTTCTTGTATATAAGAATTAGTATTTGTCATTCATTTTGGAAAGTTCTCCGTCATTATTACTTCAAATATTTGTTCTGCTCAGTTTTCCCTTTCTTCTCCTGGTATTCCAAGTACATATGTATTTCTTTTATTTTTTTATAAAAATCTCCTTTTTATTCTTTTTCAATTAAATATTCCTATAAATGCTAAGCAATACATACACACATACACACAGAGCCAAGTTCTAAAGAACCAAAGAGTCATCCCTAGGTGCCAGAAAATAAGAAAAAACTCAAAATCACAGCTGTAAGGGGGAAAGGTAGTACCAATAACCACAATACTATGTTGTCCCATGGGGTGCCATATCAGCTCTAGACCAGAGTGATGGAGACTGAACTTTTAACGACACAAGGATTAGGTATGTTCTAGTGCTGCACAGGTACAAAGCTAGAAATTTCCCCATAAAAACGATTTGTTCTTTGAATCTGTCATCCCTCTTATGACCTCCATTGTTTGTGATGAGAAGTCAGATGTTAGTCTTATTGGGGTTTCTTTGTATCTTACAGGTCATACTTCTCTTGCTGTTTTCAAGATTTTGTCTTTGTCTTTCAGTACATATGTATTTCATCTTTAATTTTGGCCCACAGTTCTTGGATGTTCTGGGGTTTTTCCTCCTTTATTTCTTTTTGCATTTCAGCCTGGAGATTTCTTTTTTCTTTTTTAAAAATTATTTATTTATTTATTTATTTATTTACGACTGTGTTGGGTCTTTGTTTCTGTGCGAGGGCTTTCTCTAGTTGTGGCAAGTGGGGGCCACTCTTCATTGTGGTGCGTGGGCCTCTCACTGTCGCGGCCTCTCTTGTTGCGGAGCACAGGCTCCAGACGCGCAGGCTCAGTAATTGTGGCTCATGGGCCCAGTTGCTCCACGGCATGTGGGATCTTCCCAGACCAGGGCTCGAACGTCCCTTGCATTGGCAGGCAGATTCTCAACCACTGCGCCTCCACGGAAGCCCAGCCTGGAGATTTCTATTGACCTGTTGACATTGATTCTTTCCTTGGCCAAGTTGAGTGTACTGATGAGCTCACTGAAAGATTTCTTCATTTCTGTCACTGTATTTTTTTCCTAGCATTTCTTTTTGATATTTTCCAGAGGCTCCATCTCTGCTAACATTACCCATCTGTTCTTGCACATTGTCTCATGTTTCCACTAGTGCTCTTAATGTATTAATCATAGTTACTTTAAATTCTCTGTCTGAAAATGCCAGTATCTGTACCCTGTCTTAATCTGGTTCTGATGCTGGCTTGGTCTCTCCACAGTGTGCTCTTGCCTTTTGGCGTGCCTTGTAATTTTTTGTTGAAAGCTGGACATGTTGTGTTGGGTAATAGGAACTGAGGTAAATGGGTCTTCAGTGTGAGGTTTCATTTACTCTACTAGGAGTTGGGCTGTGTTTAATGTTTGCTGTAGCCATAAGTGTTGGAGGCTTCAGTGTCCTCTGGTGTCCTTATTTTTGCCTCTTGTTGTCTTTAGGTTTCTATAGAAACTTATCTTACATAGAGTCTGAGTCCTGGCACTCTCCCAGTTGTAATCCATTGTTCATATACTGGAGCCTGTTGATGTGGTGGTAAGCTATTGTGTAGTGAAAGCATTCTGTAATCTAATAATTAAATCTTAGTTGTTTTTAGTGAGTCTGAGTCCCTGGGCTTTGAATTTCAGAAGAATTTCTTAGCATTTTTCCCCCCTACCTTCCAAAACTAGGGCTTATAACAGCAACATCTGGTTTCTTCTTCCCCACCCCTTGTCCACCTTCTAAACAGTCACTGTGTGGCAGGGCAGCGGTGGGGGCTCAGAGAGGAGGGAGAAGGTCTCAGAGTCCTGAGCTAGCTCAGACTGTGTGTGTGTGTGTGTGTGTGTGTGTGTGTGTGTGTGTGTGTGTGTGTGTACATGAATGGGGGAGTAGCAGCACCCAGGAGAGCAGCCTGGCCACTCCCTCCCCCTTCAGGCTACAGGTGGAAATGGAAGACTGAGGCCCAGGGAGTGTTCAGCTTCATCTACCCCTGCCCACATCCCTTAAATTCCCCAAACCTCAACTGTGTGTGTGTGGGAGGGGCCAGAGATATTTGCAGATACAAATGCAAATCATTAATGTGTCTACAATATATTTCATTTCTTGGTAATTCTATCCTGCCTTTTCCCTTCTGTATTATAAATTTGGGAGCTTTTACTTTAGGTAGACTGAAGCGTTCCAGCACTTGGCCTTGCTGCTGAAAGAAATCTCAGCAAGAGGAGAAAAGATTCTGTCTTCTCCCTGTAGCTGCAGGGAGTCCAATTCTCTTCAGTCTGATAATAATGTCTTGTTTAGGTCATGTCTTGCTCTTGCAAAGGAGTCCCGTGAGATGTCTGGACTTCAAGGTGATGGCTACATCCTACGAACAAAACCCTCACCCTCCTGACCCACTGTCGTTCTGCTGGTTGTCTTACTTGCCAGCTCAAAACCCTGGTAATACAATTTAAATTAACATCTGAGGTTTCGGGGCTTCCCTGGTGGCGCAGTGGTTAAGAATCCGCCTGCCAATGCAGGGGACATGGGTTCAAGCCCTGGTCCGGGAAGATCCACATGCCACGGAGCAGCTAAGCCATGCGCCACAACTACTGAGCCTGAGCTCTAGAGCCTGCAAGACACTACTGAAGCCCTCATGCCTAGAGACAGTGCTCTGCAACAAGAGAAGCCATCGCAATGAGAAGCCCGCGCGTCGCAATGAAGAGTAGTCCCTACTCAACACAACTAGAGAAAGCCCGCATGCAGCAAGACCCAATGCAGCCAAAAAATAAATAAAATTTTTAAAACAAATCTGAGTTTCAGAAGATAAATACTTCTCTTGTCTCCCACATGCACAGAGGTAAAACTAAACCCAGCTGTGCTAGCTTTTAAAATTTAAGCAGGATTTGGAGAGCTGCCAAATTGTAATGTGATTGCTGGGTTGCAGCAGAGATTTGCCGCCTTGCTCAGGTCACCCAGGGAAAGGCGCACGGGAACAAGAGGAGGTTCCAGGACTTACTAAGCATGATCGTTACACTTCACACCCTTCCAGAGTTACTCAACAGGACTGTGAATGCTGCCTTGCTGGGTGTGCCTCGGGAGCGAGGGGGGACAAAAATGCTGACAAGGATCTCCTCCTCCCTTTGGGGGTCTTCTGTCAATCTTCAGCTCTGTTGACAAATACCTGCAACTGCACTTTAGAAGCAGATGGCAGAGGACCTTTTGGATTCACTTGTGCCTTTACTGCCCAATTAGCTTACAAACAGTTGGGGAGGAGCTACCAGAATGGAACTCTTAAAAAATCAAATGGGCAAAGTTTGTGCAGAGATCAGACTGAAGTGACAATACTGCTCACAGCTAAGGACCTGTGACCTCAGACCCACAACAGATGGAGAGTTGGCTCTTCCCCAGGGAATGGCAGCCCTAGGAGACCTCAGGTACCCTGTCCCGCTTCCCCTTGAACAGTTACTGCCCAGACATCTACTTTCTGCCTGGAACAGGCATGATACCTTTCTGTTGGGAGTCAGGTCCATCCTGAGTTGG